ACTATTTAGGGTACTATATCAGGGTCCCACATTATCGGAAACTCCCAAATGTTTTTGCTCCTGTTGTCGGCTGTACTCTACGCAGAACTCCAGCTTTTGTTCAAGAAGCTCCCAGTCATGCGCAGACGAAGGTGCGATAATGCACTCACCAGAGTCAGGTAAATAATGATACAAGAACAGCCATAGCACGTATGAAAAACTACGTAACTACGTGTAACACTGGCAGAAAACGAAACCCTGTTCGATAAACCCGAGCCCAAAATTCTGAACCTGAAATCCGATAAACACTGAGTCAACCCCAAACCGGATCAAGCCTAGAATAAGTAGAACCTATACTACCAAAAACGCTCAAGCTCTCCTTCTCCGAGACACCCCAGTAGGCACCAGGATAGCCTTGGAGGGCACATCTAGGCGACGACGTGGTGGTGGCTCTTGCGGCTCAGAGTGGTAGGGTTCGCTGTAGGGTCGGGGCTCACGAATTGGGGCTTTAGGCTATGGGGTTGCGTTGGGGCTGCAGTTGGGGCCTATTAGGGTCTAGGCCCAGGCATTTGGGCTTCACTGCTTCAGAGCTTTCGGGCTTCAGGGTTAGGCCATAGAGCTTTGGCACAACAGGTTGGGGCTTGTGGATTGAAGGCAGCAGCATTCGGGCTTACGGGGGTCATGGTGTGCCTCTTGCTGGCTGTGAAGGCATGTGTGCCACAGACTAAATAATAGACTAAATAACCCCCCAAACTGTGAAACCCGGAATTCTGAAAGCACGAAGGCCGCACTCGAAAGCCTCAAGACCCGAAATGATGGTAGATGATGAACTCTGAAACCAAAATCTTGCACCTGCAGACCCCGGAATCTTTCACCCCTCTTAGGGGAACCCTGGAAAGACCATCAGAGAGTTGGACTCCTTGGCACTCAACCCAGATCAGGCTTGAGCTCCAAAATTTCGGAGATGCTGAATTATGAACTTAGGGTTTGGGGTGAGGCTTTGGGGTTCGGGGCTTGCGGGCTTTCGGGTTGCAGAGTTTAGGGCCTGGGGTTCGAGGGTTTCAGGTTTAGGGTGACTGACATGCTTGATGCGAACGTTACGAGTTAAACCATGATTTGCATGTTGGGATTTAGGGGCTCAGGCTTCGACCGGCCCTCGTTGGTGTTGACTTCCGTCCGTGAGTCCAATCCGACTCTGCTTAACTTGGCCACGCAGCACCACATCTTGTGTACATCAGCGCGAGCTCTGGTGTGGGATCCTGCCTCAGAACCGTGTTTGCATTTCAGGTTTGGGTTTCAGGGCAACGGCACTGCAAGTACACTGGGACTAGAACTGGTCCTGGTGCTGGTGCCTGTACTAGTATTAGCTCCATCGTACAAGTAGTACGAGTAGTATTCGTAGTAATTGAATAGTAGTACTAGTAATACGAGAAGTCCTCCTAGTGGTAGTTGTAATCGTAGTGGCAGTGGTAGTAGTAGCAGCAGCAGCCGCAGCAGTGGTAGTAGTCGTCGTCATCGTAGGAGAGGTAGTAATAGTAGTAGTAGTAGTAGTAGTAGTAGTAGTAGTAGTAGTAGTAGTAGTAGTAGTAGTAGTAGTAGTAGTAGTAGTAGTAGTAGTAGTAGTAGTAGTAGTACAGTAGTAGTAGTAGTAGTAGTCGTCGTCGTCGTCGCGGTAGTTGTTGAACTACTACTACTACGACGACGACGACTACTACTACTAGTGGTAGTGTCAGCAGTAGGTGTAGCAGCAGTAGTCGTAGCAGTGAGTGTCGCAGGAGTAGCAGTAGAAGTAGCAGCAGGCAACACAACTAGCTCTCTAATCCTGACGAGCAATGAAAGTACTCTTAGTTTGTCATGCTTCAATACATGGAGTAGCCCATTATATGCCATACCACAATAATCTAGTACTACACTATACTGTAACCAGCAGCAAGAAGAGTACTCCACACCCTCGGGCCTGCTTGGAGGATCATGGGACTTAGTAAGTAAGGTTATAGGTTCCCGAAGTGGGGCTTTAGGTAATTATAAATACAGTTACCTTACTTATAACCCACTTACTAAGTCCCATGATCCTTTAAGTAAGTCCTAAATCCTGAAACCGAACACAAGAAGAACCACGGATCTCCGTCCAAACCCTAAGACGGCTTTCAACTCGTCCAGGAGGCTGTAAAGAGACACTCCTTTCAATAGTAGTACAATAATCGTACAGTAGTGCAATTGTAGTACAGTGGTAGTACAGTAGTAGTAAGATTCAAGGCATCCAGGAGGCTGTAAAGAGACACTCCTTTCAATAGTAGTACAATAATAGTACAGTAGTGCAATTGTAGTACAGTAGTAGTACAGTAGTAGTAAGATTCAAGGCATCCAGGAGGCTGTAAAGAGACACTCCTTTCAATAGTAGTACAAGAATAGTACAGTAGTACAATTGTAGTACAGTAGTAGTACAGTAGTAGTAAGATTCAAGGCATCCAGGAGGCTGTAAAGAGACACTCCTTTCAATAGTAGTACAATAATAGTACAGTAGTGCAATTGTAGTACAGTAGTAGTACAGTAGTAGCAAGATTCAAGGCATCCAGGAGGCTGTAAAGAGACACTCCTTTCAATAGTACTACAATAATAGTACAGTAGTGCAATTGTAGTACAGTAGTAGTACAGTAGTAGTACAGTAGTAGTACAGTAGTAGTAGTAAGATTCAAGGCATCCAGGAGGCTGTAAAGAGACACTCCTTTCAACAGTAGTACAATAATAATACAATAATAGTACAGTAGTACAATTGTAGTACAGTAGGAGTACAGTAGTAGTAAGATTCAAGGCATCCAGGAGGCTGTAAAGAGACACTCCTTTCAGTAGTAGTACAGTAGTGCAATTCAAGTACAGTAGTAGTACATCAAGGCAGGAGGCTGTAAAGAGACACTCCTTTCAATAGTAGTACAATAATAGTACAGTATGCAATAGTACAGTAGTACATTCAAGGCATCCAGGAGGCTGTAAAGAGACACTCCTTTCAATAGTAGTACAATAATAGTACAGTAGTACAATTGTAGTACAGTAGTAGTACAGTAGTAGTAAGATTCAAGGCATCCAGGAGGCTGTAAAGAGACACTCCTTTCAACAGAAGTACAATCATAGTACAGTAGTACAATTGTAGTACAGTAGTAGTACAGTAGTAGTAAGATTCAAGGCATCCAGGAGGCTGTAAAGAGACACTCCTTTCAATAGTAGTACAATAATAGTACAGTAGTGCAATTGTAGTACAGTAGTGGTACAGTAGGAGCAAGATTCAAGGCATCCAGGAGGCTGTAAAGAGACACTCCTTTCAATAGTAGTACAATAATAGTACAGTAGTACAATTGTAGTACAGGAGTAGTACAGTAGTAGTAAGATTCAAGGCATCCAGGAGGCTGTAAAGAGACACTCCTTTCAATAGTAGTACAATAATGGTACAGTAGTGCAATTGTAGTACAGTAGTAGTACAGTAGTAGTAAGATTCAAGGCATCCAGGAGGCTGTAAAGAGACACTCCTTTCAGTAGTAGTACAGTACAGTACAGTAAGTACAAGTACAATAATAGTAGTAGTACAGTAGTAGTAAGGTTCAAGGCATCCAGGAGGCTGTAAAGAGACACTCCTTTCAATAGTAGTACAATAATAGTACAGTAGTACAATTGTGGTACAGTAGTAGTACAGTAGTAGTAAGATTCAAGGCATCCAGGAGGCTGTAAAGAGACACTCCTTTCAATAGTAGTACAATAATAGCACAGTAGTGCAATTGTAGTACAGTAGTAGTAAGATTCAAGGCATCCAGGAGGCTGTAAAGAGACACTCCTTTCAATAGTAATACAATAATAGTACAGTAGTACAATTGTAGTACAGTAGTAGTACAGTAGTAGTAAGATTCAAGGCATCCAGGAGGCTGTAAAGAGACACTCCTTTCAACAGAGTACAATCATAGTACAGTAGTACAATTGTAGTACAGTAGTAGTACAGTAGTAGTAAGATTCAAGGCATCCAGGAGGCTGTAAAGAGACACTCCTTTCTTTCAATAGTAGTACAATAATAGTACAGTAGTACACTTGTAGTACAGTAGTAGTACAGTAGTAGTAAGATTCAAGGCATCCAGGAGGCTGTAAAGAGACACTCCTTTCAATAGTAGTACAATAATAGTACAGTAGTACACTTGCAGTACAGTAGTAGTACAGTAGTAGTAAGATTCAAGGCATCCAGGAGGCTGTAAAGAGACACTCCTTTCTTTCAATAGTAGTACAATAATAGTACAGTAGTACACTTGTAGTACAGTAGTAGTACAGTAGTAGTAAGATTCAAGGCATCCAGGAGGCTGTAAAGAGACACTCTTTTCAATAGTAGTAAAATCATAGTACAGTAGTACAATTGTAGTACAGTAGTAGTACAGTAGTAGTAAGATTCAAGGCATCCAGGAGGCTGTAAAGAGACACCCCTTTCAATAGTAGTACAATATTGGTACAGTAGTGCAATTGTAGTACAGTAGTAGTAAGATTCAAGGCATCCAGGAGGCTGTAAAGAGACACTCCTTCTTTACCGAGCTTGGGCTGCTGGCCTTGGCCAACATGATTTTGCACAGGGCAGGGCTCGGGCTCTGGGGTTTCAGGACATAAGTCGTAGGTTTGTTCAGGGCCAAGGGGTTCAAGGCTTGCAGTTTTGGGTTTGGGGTGCCGAAAGTAAGTTTTTGGGATTTGGGTTGAGGGTCTACTATTACTACTATTACTAGTTACTAGTATTACGACTATTACAACTATTACTACTATTACTACTATTATTACTACTACTACTACTACTACTACTACTACTACTACTACTACTACTACTAGACTGTAGGTCTTCCGTCATTGGCCCTTGAAACTTGGTCTGGGCAGATTCGGGCCCCTGGGTCACTAGTTCTTCATTTGGGGGTCGCTTGCGTCTTCAACGAAAAACCCTGTGCTTCTTTGACTTTTTGACTTTTGGGTTTTGGGATATTGGGTCTAGGGCTTGGCAAAAATCGGTCCTAGCCCCAGTGGCTAGCTGGAACTACATCTACATTGGTGTCACGCCAACTAACGGAGACAACAACTGCCGGAACCGGAACGTCCCCAGAAAAGGCAACATGTGACAAATAACGCGGGGCAAAAGAAACAGTCCAAAGGCAGCCGATCGCCAATAACCGCCATCCCAACTCCGCGCTCTTCGGTGCTGAGGTCGGCGCTTCAGCCTCGTACAGCTTGATGTCCGCGTCACCCAGCTTGCCATTCTCCATGTCTGCATCCCAAGAATTGTACGTAGTTGTTGCAAATGCCTGGGCTAGAACGCGAAAAGATTATGAGCAGAATTCACCGATTGGCTGTCCACTCGACTGAGTTCCGAGCGCTATTCGTTGCGGTCGCAGAACCAGCGCTCTTGCCGCTGTCTTTTGGCTTCCCATCATCTTTCCCTTCATCCTTGGCATCGTCCTTGTCGTCATTCTTGTCGTCATCCTTTTCGTCATCCTTGTCTTCGTCCTTGCAGCAGCCATGAGCCGGGTTGAGGGCGCGGACTTGCAAGATTGACACCATACCGTCTCATGCCCTGGATAGAATTAACAACCCGAAGCGGGAAATCGAAGCACCAACAGTGGCCTTGGCTGCGGTCGTGGTAGTCGTTGTGGACGTGACCTCCCATATTGCTGTCCGAGCTTCCCGACACCCCAGAAGCCCTGAGCCTACCCTAAGCTCTGAAACCTGGGCTTCCCCTAACCTTGTGCTTCCCTGAACCCTAGGCCCTAGGCTTCCGTTGGCCCCTGGACTTCGACCTCAAGATGGAAGCGTTTGGGTGGTTCTGAGTTCTGCGGAGTGCAAAGCCGGGCTTGCAGTTCTAGGACGATTGCCTCTGCTTACGATTGCGAATCGCGCTGGTATAGCAAGTCTTGCGACCAGTACCATGATTATGAGACCGGTACTACTGCCAGTACCCCTTGGACCCTCGATACTGCTACTTCTACTGCCTCTGAGTACTGGATAGGCCCATGCTTACTTGCCTCAGCAAGTGACGACAAGAAAGATCCCAAGCCCCAATTATATGTACTCAACCCGAGAAACGACCCCCAACCTTCTGGAGGCATTGGCCTACACCCCACCCCTCCCTCCTGCTCTTAGACGTCTTAGACGCTCACCTGGACACCCCAATTACAATCCAGTCTATCACGTGAAAGCTGCGGCAAGACGTCCCCAGGGGTTGAACCCTCAACTCCAGAAAGACGCCCCTCCACAAAACAAGAACTACAAAAACCTACTGTAAGGGCCTAAATAATTACCTATACCATTTTGGGGGTTCCGTATTATAGTTATAGCATAATGGGCCCCAAAATCCTATTCTCATTATATTGAGGCCCCTATATTAACAACCCTCGCCTCTCTTCCCGAAATCCCCCCCTTGTGCGCTCACGCCGGAGCCTCTGGCGGCTCCCAGATCTTGAGCTCCTGCCCCTGAGGAGTCTTAGGGCTTTGGGGTTTTAGGTCGTTAGCGTTTTAGAATTCAGGTCTTGGAGTTTAGGGTTTAGAGTTTCGGGCATGGGGATTGTGGGTTGTGGTCTTGAGATTGTGGGATAAGGGCTTAGGGAGAGGCAACAGGGAAGGTACACAGCATCATGGCAGCCTCCAGAATCGCAAGGCAGGGAGCACTCAGGATAAGTCTTGGCCAGTAAACCCCAAAGCAAACACCTAAAGCAGAGGCCCTCAAGGCTGGAAATCCAATCCAAGACTCTGAGCCAAACCCCCAGCCTTGTACCAGTAAGCCTAAACTAAACCCGATCCCCTAACCAAACCCAAAACCTCGAAACCCACGGCCGCAAGCCCCAAACCTTCGAACGCAAAAAGATAGCCTCCGACATCCTGACCCGGAACATTAAACTCCTCATCTGCGCCCCAAAGCCTGGAACCCTAAACCTGAAACAAACCCCGAACACCCGGCTGGGAGTTGCCAAAAATAGGGGACCCTTCTATGATACCCCAAAAAAGATCCTTATTATAAGGACCCCGAAATAAGGTACCCCTGATTCTTTCGGAAACTCCCGGCTGGAGTTCTCGCGCGCCTTCTGCAGGCAGCTACACTCTTCGATCAAGGCTGCAGCTTTTCGGATCCTCTTGGGCGATCAGCATTTGGCCATGAGTGTCCGGGCTAGGGCTTAGGATCTGGGTTTTCGGGTCTAGGGTTCTGATTTAGGGATTACCCATTTTAGGGTTTAGGGCTTCTGTTCAACTTGTGATGACGTAGCACAAACGGTATCCTGTGCACCTGCTACGCTATGTTCCTAGGTCTGGTCGCCAACATGCATAGTGATTAGGAGCCGTGTTGAACTGAGTCGCAAAGACTAGTGGTTAGGCATACTGCTTTGGAATAGTGTAGAAGCTAGTATTGTTTTGGAACGCTCTTGTGTAGGGAATTTAGGTGCATCAGGTCTTGGGCAAATTCTTGGCAACAATGTTTGCAATGCTGCTTCAGCCGGAAATCTGTCAATTCCACGGTTCTGCAAACTCGTCAGATACCTGCATATTGTAAATGCGCAACAGATCTCGACAGATTTGCCGGGACGCCCCAAATGTTTGGGAGAGGCTAGTGTTCGGAAATACCTTGTCGGAGTAAGGTTGCAGAACTGCGCTTCGAGAAAGTGCTGCTTCATTTGTAGTTTTGGAGCTGCTGCGCTGCGAGCATGTTTTCTAGGCTCCCGAAACTCCAAACCGTGCACCCCAACGCTCCTAAACCACAAACCTAACTCGAGGAAAAGAGGATTCTGAGCCGGAAAAGTCCAAAAGCCTTGTCGCCGCCGAAGCCCGTACATCCTACTGATCCCGAGCCCGAACCTTATAACGATGCGCAGCCTCGTCTTACGGCTTCAGGATTCGAGGGCTTTGGGTTTCCGGCTTTAGGGCTTCACGGCTTTTGGCTTGCAGCTCTAAGACGTGGTCTGAGCAACAACAGCCGCGGGCTTGCCGCTGCCATCATGGATCATTGCTACCACTCATGAACGACTATTGCGAAAGTTGAACGACTGCTGCAGTGAGTACCTTGAACGCAGCCCTCAGCTGGCTCCTGACTGCATAGTTGCCGATGTGGTCCTTGACTCGCTTGAGCCTGGCTTCCTCCACAACAGGGCTTGGAGTTTATGGTTCAGGTTTTAGGGTCAGGGTTAGGGCTGGGCCTCGGGGGTTTTGGCTTTAGGGCTCAGGGCTAAAAGTAGAGATTTCAGCTCTTAGTCCTGACTCCCATGGAAATTCGCGGTGGGAGTGTAGTCTTAGAGCGTAGTCACCGAACAAGATCATCAAACTGTCTGTAGCAAGAAGTATAGCCATTTGAAAACAATGAGCATCGACATGAGCTTGCTGAACAATACCAAGAGCAACAAGTACCTGCAGTACGAAATGAAACTTCGGATTGGGAATCCGACTTTAAACAAGTGGGATTTGCCTTTTTGGGGCCGGTGCGGTGGGTTAGACCATACACCCCCAAACCCCGGGTAAACCCTCAAGAAGATCATGTCATCACCATCATCATCGCCATCGTAATTTTCGTCGACGTCAGGATCATGATCCAGCCATGAGAACACGGCAACTCGTAGCACTCAACTTGATGTTGCTCCGTCGGGGCCTGCTCCGCCAGCATCGCGGAGGCATACTCCTGCTGCCGCACCAGCGCCCTCCAAGAATGGTGGCGTTGTCAGAGGCTTTCGGCTTCAGAGATCAGGGTTTGCTTTTAAGCTCCAGAATTCAGACCCCAGAGTGCCTAAGCCAAAGCAAGCATTGGTGGTTGCTGTAGTGATCTGGTATCCCGAACCGAGGCTCCGATTTGTGCTGAGTGTTGTTCAGCTCTTTAGCTCATGGGGCCACATCAGAACTTGACCCCGGGGTCAAGAGCTACTGCGGCCGGGGCAATAGGCCTGCGACTCTGAGGTCTCATGCTAGCCCTCCGATTCCGATCTTCAACCCTGGAACCCTTTGTAATGGAGGCTCCATGACCCTTAAAGCCAATGCGCCGCGACTCGAAGTAGGTCCTGTCCTGGGAGACGCCAAGTCCTGACCTTGACGCCTTAGAACCTAAAGCTTGGAACCCTGCATATCAACCCTCAGATCCTAAACCCTAAACCCTAAACCCCCTTCTTCAAGCGGGATCTTCATATTTCGGGTCTGAGCTTGGAGGTTGCTTGCTGTCCCTATGTAGATTCAGTCCAGGAGGTATTTAGAGGTCGGAGGTATTTACGAGGTCCTTTAGTTGCAAGGCCTTCTCTCAGGCTCGGCTCAGCACTCAAAAACAAACAGACATGAGCCCTCTCAACTGCCGCCAAACCCAATACTATACATAGGGGCCTTAAGAATCAAAATTGTTTGTGCCTGTTGCGAAGGGGGATGTTACACCTGATTAGCAAGGATTTGATACTATACAGTATAAACAGAAGAAGGATCCCTTGCATTATATACACAATAAGGAACCCTTACATATACTTATACTGCTGACCCCGACCTTGAAGCCGAAGCCTTGAACCCTAGACCCTGAAGTCTGAAACCTAAGCCTTCAAAACAAAGCAGAGCCTGGCGCGCTTCGCGGCATCTTCTTCTGCCCGTGCCGCCTTCATCTTGGCTGCAAACCTCTGGGGCTAAGGGTTAGGATTTAGGATGGCTTACGGTTTAGGTTTTTAAGAAGCGCCTGTTTTCTAGGGTTTAGGGTTTAGGGCTTAGGATGGCTTGGGGTTTAAGCTTAGGGGTCTTCGGGGTGAAGTTTACGGACCAACATGGGCTTGCAGGAACTTAGAGCCATGGGGATTTACAGCTTTCGAAGACCTCGTTTGAAGGATCGTATCCTTAGTATATTCTCTCAAACATTCTCAAACCCTATTCGCACTATAAGGCTCCTATACTCGAGCTTGAGGTGTGAGAGCCGCACGTGGGCTACGATTCGGTCTTCTCCCGCGGATGTGGAAAGGCAGTGGTCTTCCTGTGTTAGTAAAGCTTGCAGTAGAGCACCACAGGATCTTCGAAGCAACTCAAACTGTTCTCACTCGACATGTCTCGACAAACACTGAACCCTAACACCACGCGCAGGAGAACCACAAACTGCAGCCCATGAATTCCTTTGGCCATGGGGCAATTCTTTGCTGGATGCCCGCGTCTTTTCCACAAGGCTCGCCTGAGCCTCCCGGAGTTTATCATCGCTGTTGATGTTCAGGTCGTGAGGCTAATCCCTAGCCCGAAACCATAAATTCTAAACCATTAGGGCTCAAAGAACAAAGCTTGGGCTTTCTGGTCCAGGGTTCAGGTTCAGAATTTCCGGTCGTCTGGCGCTACTGCCGGCGAAGCTCGAGGCTTCAAAAAGCTCTTGTCTCATCGTGGTCATGGTTTCTTTCCTTTTGGGGCGTGAGTTTGAGATTTTGGAGGGGTTTGAAGGACCGCTGCAGGCTTGCAAGCAGTCACCACTTGACCATGCCTGTGCGATGCTTGGTTGGCAACATGCATTGCTGCAGTAGTGGAGGTACCTAGCTGTACTTATACTCCTACGGCCAAAAGCATAGACTTTCGTAGAGGGCTCGTGACCACTTAGAGGTAAGTCGGGCTTGATACCCTGTCACTTCTCATGTTGTCTTACTTCGAGCCCTGCTGGCAAGCACCCATGAGTCCCATGAGATACAAGCACCACCATGCCGCAGCAGTTGAGTGAGATGAGGAAATGGCTGTAAACACAAGTTGCAAGTCGACTACTAAGATGAAGCCTCAGAAAGCCTAAACCCCCATCCCCACATTTTGAATACCAAATCCTGAACCTTCCTGCACCTTAAGCCCTATGTCCTACGTACGAAATCAGTGCTGCTTGAGTTGACTTGCATATTTTAAATACTTAGAAAGCACCTTACACGCTTTGAACCCTTTATAAAGCCTGCAGAACACTCTAAACCCTAAACCGCAAACCCTAACCCTAAACCCTCCTACCAAGCCTTCGTAGTTCAAAGGAAAAAAGTGTTCCACCCTCGCGCCTCTCGAAAGCCGCGATCGGCTGCTGACCTGGCCTCCTTCGAGGAGTCTCTGGGGTTTAGGATTTAGTGGGTTTGGGGCTTACGGGGTTTAGTGGGTTTGGGGTTTACGGGGTTTGGGGGTTTAGCGATTCAGTAGGTTTAGGGTATAGGGTGTAAAGCTTTAGGGTTTAGGGGTTTAGGGGTTTGGGGTTTAGGGTTAGGGGCTTCTGGTATAGGATTGCGGGGTTGAGGGTTTGGGTTCAGGAGCGCAGGGTGTCTTTGAGGTTTCAGGGAGTCCCTGCAGGGTCAGAGTCGGGGCTTTAGTTGCTTCCCTGGACCCTGAGGAACCTACCTTCTTAGGGTTGCCTGATTTGATTTCTTGATATAAGTCCTTAAAAAGGTAGGTTCCTTAGGGTCCAGGTCAGGCTTGAGGTGTGAGGTTTGTTTGGCTTGAAGTTAGGGCTTTGGGGTCTTGGCTTCTGGGGGTCAGGGTTTGAGCCATGTCGGATGGAGGGCTCTGGAAATGGGCTGCAGGCCTTCTGCGTTGCTGATGCAGCTCGGGTGCTGAGCCCTTGTCATGAAATCCCAGATCACTTGGAAAGCCGGACGTCCGCAGTTTGAAGGCCCTCTTCTTTGGCAAAAGATGTTCAAAGAGGTCTCGGCCAGCCCTGATTCTAAGCCCAACAGTCCAACCTACACCCAACAACCCGAAACCAAAGCCCGAACTTCCAAAAACCGCAAATCCCGCATGCCAACCCCGAAGCTTGCAGCCTCTAGGTCGTCGACCTTTCTCTCAAGCTCCTCACAGGCGAAGAGAGGTTTAGGGTTCAGGGTAGAGGATTTCGGGTTCAGGGTCTGGGTTTAGAATCTTGGTGTCTTGGGAAGTTGATATGCTTCCTGCAATGCTACATCCGTCTTCGACAGCTACGGGTTTGGGGGCACGACGGTTAGAGTTTTGGGGCTTTGGGTGTACGGTCATCATTCGACAGGGGATGTTTGAGTTCCTCCAGTTGCTGCGGCTTGCACGTCTGTGCATGCAACGTCCAGGGCGACTCCCTCTGTGTTTATGCTCGAAGTGCTCAATGACCCCCCCTTTGAAACACTTCAATACCTTTAGTAGATGCAGACCGACTCCTGAGAGTTCGACACACATATATACATACACATACTCTCAACGGGCTGTAAGCCGGTGGCGTTAACATGACAAAGCCTTGACGGCCTGGGATAAACATGGAGGGCTACGAAGCATCTCCAACTCAGACATCGGACATTTGCATCGATAAGATCGAATCCCATAGATCCTATGTTGATCCCAAGCCCAAGAACCCCAAACCCTGAACCTCAGACACTTTGACACCTTCAAGGCCTCAACCCCGAACGCTAAACCATGAACCCTGAACCCTGAACCGTAAACCCTAAACCCTGAACCCTACCCGAAATCCCCCAACCCGAAACTTCTGGGAGCAGAAGAGTCCTCGACCTGCCTGACCAGGTCTTCGACGGCGCTGTCATCCTCCAAGCCTTCCGGGGAAAACGTAGTATAGAGGCCCGTATATAAGTTCTTAAGCTCTTACTGATTGGAAGAAGGTGTGGGATCATATGAGCCACAATGGAGTATTAATGATTCACAACCCTTTTTCGGTTTAGGACCCTTTTCTAGTGCTCTTCGCACCCCGAAGGTCCAGCAGTTGTGGGTTTAGGGCATGGTGGTCTGACGTTTGGGCTTTTCGGTTTGGGGTGTGGGGCGTTCAGGTTTCGTGCTCCATAGATTCCATGGACTGCTACGCCCCAAACCCCACGCTGACAAGTCTGTGGAGTCGAGATCTTGCACCTGAACACGAAGAGACCAAGCGGCAACTCCCAGACCAAGGGCTTCAACGTCATCATGGTAATAGCACCAACACGAATAATCGTGGTTCTGATTGTGGCGGTGGTGGTGATTCTCAGGATGAGGAAGAAAAAGGTGATAATGTGGATGACAAGCGGGTGCTGATGATTATCACGATTAGGATGACACTGATAGTGATCGTGAAGTTTTGACATGTCATGATGGTGGATGGCGGCGGCAGAATGCAGGGCCATGGCCGTGGTGATGGTGTGGCAGGGGCGATTGTTTCAATAGCAATGCGTCGAAACAGACAAGCAGTCGTGTTTGCTCCACCATATCGCAAGACTGCCTCCCTGAAAATCGCTGTTCGGTGCAGGGCGACTGCAGGGATTACCGTAAGACCTATCGGGTTACCCTGTACTCCCCATGGTAACCACGCTGGTGGCGTTAATGGCGTTAGGTTTCGGGCTCTTTGCTGCGGCCCTGCCTTGCCGTGCGACGGAATCTGCCTGCACCTGGGTGCCCGAGGATACCAAGCCTGGCATCAGAAGCACGGGACCCTGGGCTTCCTGTGCGGTCTACCAGGGTTCCTGTAAGGGTTATATATCACCAGGGTTAGTATAAAGTTGACTCCAAGGGTTCGTATAAGGGCTGCTGCTAGGGTCTAGGGTCTGGCATCTGCAACCAAACCCGAAACCATAAGTCTTTCGGAGTTCGGTGAGAGTCCCTCAACCTTATCTTGGAATAGAGCTCTTGGGTTCCGGAGACGCGTTCATGAAAGGGTTAGACAAGGGAATATGGGATAATGATTTATGACATTGTTGAGGCTCCAATCTTGGCCTAAACACGTTTGAGCGACACTCCCTAAAAACGGCCGTAAGGAAAGGGCCCAAGATACAGTAGCAAGCTTCAGCGTCATCAGGCTTTGATCAAACCATTTCGTCATCTCGTCATGAGCGATGCCTATAGCCAGGCAGCGCAGAAGGAGGTGATGATAGACTCTGTCCGTACGAGACAGGACGATAACAAGCACAGTGGCAAGAAACACAATCATGGCAACAGAAACCTAGTTGCTGAGTTCATATGCCCCAAAAAATGTACACTTTCAGTTTTATAGCGGTAGTATGATCCCAAAAAGTGTAAAGTGTATCCACTCAGCTACTAAGGAAAAGTCATGTTTTCGAGCAGCCAAGGTTGCTTCCCGCATATGAGCCCGTCCCGGAGCAACCGATACCCTTCCTTTCATCTTCCTAGGCTTCCGGGCCGCTTTAGGGGCAGTAAGAGCAGGGTTTGGTAGTGCATCTTCGGGGGCTTTCGGTAGACTCGGGTGAAAAAGATACAAGACTGGAGAAGTATCTTTTGACTGTTTTAAACCCTGGCCCTGGCCGTGACCGGCCCCGGTGAATCCCGCAAAAACAACATTGACCCCAACCTCTCCCACAACTCATTTAAAGAATCTATGAGGCCGATCGGCCTGTATTCAGATCTTGGACCATGGCTGCAATCTCGTCCTGGCGGACTCATGGTCGGACATCGAGTTGAGTTTGCGTTATGGTTGATGGAGTTCCCGGCTCTGTAAACCTGCTTCCCCTGAAGGATCAAAGACACATCACATATCCATGAGCTCGTCCAACATAGACTCAGGCTCGACGGTCTATCCCCCCATAACGGAGCCTCAAGACTTGCCCCATGGCCTGCGATGCCGATATCCAAACTTAATTTTCGAGTCGGAAATCGGCTCCCGACACATGGAAAGTCCCATCTGGCAGTAAGGAACTTAACTTAAGTTCCCATGATGAGGAAAGCATACCAGCCATTCTCTACCCCTGTTGTTGCAACCTGTACTCAATTTCGCAACGAGAGCTCGAAACCGTAAACTTACTGTCCTGGAACCCCATTCTTCCCACGACCTTAAGGGTAACCCTAAACCCTAAACCGTGGAAGACTGGTCCTCTGATAGGTGGAACGGAGCCCGATGCGTAACACCTGGTCAAGGGAGCTCTGTAGCCCCTGCCCCGAAAGGGCATAGGTTTGGAGGGAAATTCAAGGGAAAGGCTGAGCAGTTTCCCTGCTGCTTGTCTTAAGTGCCAAGGGTTCTATGGAGATGAAGCTGGCCTTGGACAGTTTTGGCTCTTCAGGTTGCGGCGCAGTGGGAAACAACCTCAGAGAAGATCGACTCAGACACGGGACGAGCCCAGGACACGACAGAGTCAATAACATCGCCGCTGAAACTGGTGCTACCACTCAACTTACCGAATCCAAGTCTTCCTCCCATGCCGAATTGAAGATATGAGTTCTACAGAAATTCAGTGTACAAGGCAAGGGGTTCGGGGCCTCGATGTAAGGGCTAATAATATACAGTCAATCCTAAACCCCAATCCAAAAGCCCTTTCTCAACAGCGTATATCCCGAACTCCGAACTGCGAGGCCCCAGATGCCAAAGCCTTGAACTCTTACGTCCAGACCCTGAACCCAACATATACTATAGACAAAATATGTTCCCAATATGTGCAGTCCTAAACTCCGCAAGCCTTCCCAAAAGAAAGAGCCCCAAGACACCCCTTCCCCACAAAGACTGTTCCTGAAACTGAAGAGGGATCCTGAGATTATTCGAAGCCCGAGCCCCCAAAGCACTAAACCCTGAATGTATACAGTGTAACGGTGTTTAGATCCATGTAAAAAAGGGTTTAGGGTTTAGGGTTAAGGTACACTGTATAGCTTAGTTGAGGAGTGTTGGGCTGTCTAGGTCGCTGTGTCGGGGCACCTTCAAGTTGGAGGAAGGCTAAGTTCTGCTTCTGCGAACCTCAGTCAGGGCTTGAGGTTTCAGGATGTCAATGTCCGGGGTCTAAAGGTCCACGATCAGTATACTATGCGATGCTATAGTATATGAAAAACTATTAAAGACTAGGCTATGATATGCTGTGAAAAAAGTATAATGTACTATAAATAACCGTAGTATAGGAGGAATTTATGCCTGACGGTTTGTGGTGGGGCTTGGGGGATTCTTGGGGGTTGCGGTGTCTAGTCCTGTGCACAAGCTGTCACCACCACAATCTCGTTCCGTATGATCGTTCCCGTCGTCATCACCATGCTATCGAAACAACATTCAGCAACGACTTCGTTGTCATCCAAATGTCACGAAAACGCCTATCATGCCCCGCACCCTTGCTTATCTCTCACCCCCCAACCCGAAAACCCTAAACCCAACCCCCCCCCCACATCCAGTAAGCCCCAAACCCAGAACCCCTAAGCAAACCCTATGCACTTCACACCCTTAACCCCAAACTTCCAGGCCCTAAGCCCGAAAATCCCTGAACCCCAAAACTCCCGGGCCCGATTCCTGCGAATCCCAAACCTCATGGGGCCGGACCCTTAATAAGGACCCCTAGGTCTATACCCTTAATATAGCTATTATATACTATATACCCATTATATAGCCCATTATAGGGTAGGGGTCCCGGACAATAAGGAAAGCCCAAAACCTTGGGCCCTAAACCCCGAAACCCGGAACAAAATGCCCCAACTAAACCCCGAAAACCCCATGAGGCCCCAAGCCCCAAAATCCCAAACCTCAGGGAGTTTAGGTTTAGGGTTTAGGGCAAAATCCCATAAGGGCCGGACAGTTGCATCGTCCCAAAAGGGCGGCCAACTGCTCCAACTCATCCCGAGCCTTCTCTGCCACCTGCGGAGCCGAGGCTCAAGGGTGGAGGGCTTGGGGTTTAGGGGTTTGGGGTTTAGGGTTTAAGGCTTGGGGTTTAGGGGTTAGGGGTTTTGGGTTTAAGGCTTGGGGCTTAGGGGTTTAGGGCTTTGGATTTAGATAGGGGTTTAGTTCAGTGGTTGGGGTTTCTGGGCCTGGCTTTTTTGAAAAAAACCTTGTTTTAGGCTAACTCGTAAGGTTTAGGCTTGGTCTGTAGGGTTTGGAGCTTAGTGCTAGGCCCCAGGCCCAAGGCTTCGGACTCGGGGCAAGGACAGGCGGTGCTTGGCTTTCAAGCATTCCGAGTATCAGGGATAGGTCTAAACCCTAAACCCTAAACCCTCAACCCTAAAGCTTTAGGGTGCAAGCACAGGAATGGACAGGCGGCCTTGGCGTGAGCCAAAGTGAAGCCGTAGACGTTTCCGATGAGAGCCTCGAAGAGCCGGTACTTAGAAATTGCGAATCCGACGCAACGTCGTCAGGCGGATTGGCAGAGCACTGGTTTGCAAAGTTGCAAAGAGGATGCAACAAGGCCCGGGGATATGAAGGAGCTCCGTATGTAGCCTAGCGGGTAAGGTTTAGCGCAGCACTAGTCAGCTTGTGGGCTCTAGTGCCCAGTGTCCTAGACCCTACGAAGTACCCAACAAATATGAGCAAACCCTGATGGCAGAGAACCCGAGAATCGACGTCTATGTATGTGTGCTGTATATGCACGAAGAGTTACAAAGACCTACTGTATAACGTACAAACCACACATTTCAAGTAAAAATGTCTCTGTGCAGGCAGCCGCAGAACTGCTTGTCTCTGTGTCCACACATCAACATATGAGTATTCTGTCTATACGAGTCTATACATACATTCATCCATTCATGCATCCAGGCAGGCATGCTTACAGACAGACATTTTTTTCATTCCGCAGGCTTAGGGACCATAAGTCGCGCCTATTGCACAAAACAACGAATTCGGAAGTGAAACTAATCCTGTGGGCTGTGCAGACCACCATTCCCGCTCCGAAAGCCGGCAGAGATCAGCCAGGTGGGGGCTGGCTCGAGACACGCAAGGGCATTCTGGGAAAAGTCAATGCGCACACGGGATATGGCAGTTTGTTGTACCGCCGCGCCTAACACATCGAGTGTGGCTTCCACGTACGCAGCCTGCTTCCGTGCCGCCGAAAGGGGAGCGCCCCCAATAAAAGGGTGACAGAAGGCTGGGCAAGGTGGAGCCCCGATGTGAAAGACAGAAGATTGGCCGGTAAGGATGAAGGGGATGGTATCTGGCAGTGGGCCTGGAAGCTCCGCACAGCAGTCCGCAACTGGGGCAACCGACTTAGTGCGGCAGAAGGTGTCACAGCAAAGGATTGGATCTAGCATGAGCGTAGCATCCTCTGCGGCTGAAGTCACGCCTGACTCGTGGCCGCAGCGCTGCACCCAGATTCGGAGTGTCTCACGCAGCACAGATAGGGGCTCGACACATTTCGACACCAAGTCCCAAGCCCCCTCGGCAGTCGGGTTCTGCAAGGCCACGAGGGACTGAAGAAGGCTATCGTTGTAACTTGCCGGATCGAGCTCGACCCCGCCCTCAAGCCAGGAGGATGAGACCTCACGAGGTGGCTCAGCAACATTAGGGGCACTTCGCAATTTGCCCTCTGCAGGGATGGCCGACCCCCACCGTCTACGGCACTCAGAGGCATGCAACAAATGTCGACGAAGGCGAGCATCATTGGCGTACTGCCTTCCACAGCCAGAGCAAAAGGAATTCCGGGAATCCCGAACCAAGGCAGTTGCAGCGAGCCTGTACCCGTGCTTCTTAGAAGAATGCATGGCCCAGGCGGCCCGACTCATAAACCCCTTGCGACAGAGCAGACATGCCTCAACGAAATGTGCCTCGGGCAGGTCTGGCTGTAGGCTCTCACCTGCGCTCCTGTGCAGAAGGGCCCGATGAAACGCCTGCAGAGCAGCCCAGCAAGCAATGCGACACTGCTCAAGCCCTTGTGCTCGCTTGACAAAGCCCTTGTAGATGTTTGGGCGGCTGTTGATGAGCCCGACCCAGGTTTCCACACAGTCACGCGGGTGCCCCAAATCACACGTAGCACGGACACGTGCAAAGAGCCAATCAAGGGCTTCCCGTAGAACCTCCAGGTATTTGGGGTCTTGCCGCAGCAGCGCCCAAACAGCATCTGGAGCATCGGTGCATAACTGGCGCAAATATCGGAGCTGCTCAATTCGGAGCGTGGTTTCATGGTCCGGTCGCTGGAGCAGCGCTCAAACTTCGGCGACTGTAACGTGCTGATCATCAATATTTCGAAGCCCAAGGGTCGCCCGAAACAGAGAGAAAAGAGCACCAGCAAAGACCTTACGATCGCCCACTGACAGAGGTGGCCATGCTCCCGCACCGAAAACCAGTTTGCTGATTACCAGTGTCTGCAGGAGGGCACCTCGTCTGGCCAGCGATATGCGCCGGCACCGGAAGATTTTGGTGCGTCCATCACGAAAAGCACTCCAGGCAGCAGCAACTCGGGCCCGGATTTCGGGACCAATGCGTCCTTCTTTCGCCTGTAGCACTCCTAAGTGTTTGTAGGTAGCCACAAGCGGAAGTGCAGCTGCGCCAGAATGCTCACGCAGAACGCAGAGCTCTGATCGACCTTGAAACAAACTGCGAGCTGCGCTCTTGGATCCTGGTCCTTTGGGGCATAGCAAAGCGGCTGTCTTGCGAGGACCAAATGTTAAGCTGAGCCCATGCGACTCAAAGGCATCTGCCAGCGCAGCAGTTTCCACAGTGACTGCCGTGGCCACCCCTGCAGCCTGTGGTGTGTGGAGGCATGTGGACAGGTCATCGGCCCAGATGAGGTCGGACAAACAAACATGCTGTCGTGGGGATCCCGGTGGTCCCCAATGTCTGTAGCCGTCCCATGGAACCTTGGGCTGGGTGGCAGCTCCCCGTGCCTCCTGCTTACACAGATCACGAAGCCGGAGAATTCTGGCCATCACGACACCGAAAGTGAGATCGGCCCATGCCGACCCCGGTCGGGTTCCCCTCCTGGTAGCTATCGGGATATCATCACCTTGCAGGCACATGAAAGTCCCATGGTTCAGCTCAGCAGTCAGGGCCCGGAGCCAAGGGCTGGCTCCCGAACTTTCCATCGCACTGGGCATGCGTAGCTGCTCCTGCAGATCCAAGACGGCATTCTCGGTCTCAGGAAGAGCCGCACTGCTGGAAGAGGGGAGCTTCGCAGCAAGACTTCGAACAGTGGAGTAGTAGGCAGAGGACACATCTGCGAATACCACAGCTGACGTCTGACCCTGGCTGGCAGACCAACGCATGTAGGTGCGCATAGCATGTGATCCGAACACAACGCTGCAACCCTTACGCCCCCCAAGCTGTAAGGGAGAGGCAGTGGTGGTGAAGTGCTGCTGTATGCGCGGCCGATACGCTCGATGCACCGCCTTTCCGAGACTGGAAAGCAGTAGTATCCCACGGTACGACTCACACTCTGACTTTGACCCCCTACCTTTCCACAGCCACGTGAGAGCGCCACACTTGTGGCCCAAGCCTTCTTCTCCGAGCAATCCCAGCTTGAGGATGAGAGGAAAGAGGATCCTCTCGACATCAGAAGAGAAGAGGATCCCCAATTCACCTGGAAGTGCATCAGGACCTGGCGCTTTCCCCCGCTTAGCGGACAGAAGCGCGCATTGGAGATCTTGCGGCGTAGGAATATCCCGAATAGAGGGTGGATCAGGCCAACTGTGGACATCATGCTCAAGCGCTCCGGCCAAGAGCGTTTCGGGGGTAACCTCCAAGCCATCTTCAAGGGCGCTAAAATGGTCACGCCATCGCTGCTGAACAGCTTCCGGCGTGTCGCAGACCTTCCCGTCCTTTCCAACAATGGCAGGGAGCACGGCCGGGGCGTAGGGCTTTTTGCGACGCCGGCAGAGGAGCCGGTTGACGGCCTGGAAGGAACTGACCTTGTTGTCCTGAACCTCATCCGCAAGCTGAGCAATGTATGCAACACGATCGCTCTTGCACCTAGCCCTGAGAGCCTTGGCAAAGACTCCTAGCCGGAATCCGTACAGGGCTTCGGCAACCTGACAGTCACGTAACCAGGCTGAACTGTGCGACTCAGCTTCCCCGGACCCACACCAGGCATGGAAGACAGCAAGAAGGGTCTGGTGGCGTAGCATGTCACGGACACCCGCGCATTTGCGCCGAAGCCAGGCGACCTGTTTTTGAAGATCCCAGGCTTCGGAAGACAGGTAGGGATGCAGGGGAGTCCTCGACTCCTGGGGGAACGCCGCGGCAAGCTCGGTTTGGAGGTAGCTGGTAACCGTTGTGACATGTGCATGGGCCGAGACGGACCAATCGGGCCGTGGGGCCGACTCAAGGATGCCACGGATAACAGCCTGGTTCTCCGGCTTGGCAAGAGAGGGGGCATGGAATCGCCTGGTGTCAGCACGCTTGGCACCAGCGGAGCAGCGGAGGTGCAATCGTACCTCCGCAACGGTGGCCACATGATCAATGACCATGTTCGCAGCTACGACATCTGGGGAGGTCCAGGTGGTGACATGCCCATCTGCCCATTCGCATGGCAAGAAAACGAAATCCGGCCTGGCTCGAGCTCCATTCCGGCGCTGCACAAAGGTCCATGTCGGACCACGCTGAATGCTGGCCCATGTGGCCGGGGCCCAAACACCCCATTTCTTCAAGCATGAATGAAGCAAATCACCAGACAGATCTTGCAACTCTGCTGCGTGTGAGGACACATGGGCTGATTCAACTGAGCCTAGGCTAGCATTACAGTCGGCCCCTATTATCAAGAGGCGGCCGCCAGAAACCCGAAAGACAAGTTCCTCTGTCTCCCGCCACCAGGTGCTAAGCTCCTCCGGGGTCATACCCCGATGTGGCGCATGCAGGGCAACAAAGACAACCTGGAAACCTCCTTGCTTGAAGAGAACCCCAAGGCGGCGCGGGTCTTTGAAAAGGACAACGAAGCGATTGGGATCAAAGCGAACATGCTGTCGGTCCGTACCGGGGAAGTGTATCAAGACAGCACCGCGCTGGAACCACAGCTCCACACCAAGATGCCCTTTCTGGGCACCTGAGCAGTAGCGGAGATACTGCCCTGTCGTGAGATGCCCCTCCTCAGTTCTTGCCTCCTGGATAGCTGCACAAGTCACACCAGCCAGGGAGAGCTGATTCGCAAGTAGGGCCGGTCTGGCTGGCTGAAAGGAAAGACCTTCCTCAGCAGGCCCTCGCTTCTCCGTAGCCAAAGAAAGTGCATTGTACGAGACAAAACGCAGCCACAGCTGCCCCTGTGTGCGGTCGGTCTCGCCCCTAGTCTGGTTGGGAAGAAAAGGCGCCAATACTTCCTCTGCTTCCATTTGCTTCATGTGCCGACCGCTTCGCAAATCGTCTGCAAGTGGCGAGGGTAGGGCCTCGTCACCCTGCGCCCAACTACAGACAACGGCACCCCAGGACCACAGATATCCTTGATTGGCCCACCAAGCCGGGCCTTGGGGAGAGTGCCACTGCAGGCTACCAACAGATTGGCCTTCCGCAGCAGCCTTTGCTGCAACATCAGCAATTTCATTTCCAAGGACGCTGGCATGCCCAGGAGAGTAGATGACTGCAGGAGGGCAGAGGGTTGCTGCGCGGCAGCACCGAGCCACATGTCCCAAGATCGTGGCAACTCCCTCGGTATGAGGTATACCTTCACCGCAAGCGATAGAAATTGCAGCCTGGCAGTCCGAGAGGATGGTGAAAGCATCTCCATGTGACACTGCAACACCCAACCACAAACCAACAATAAGCGCACAACATTCAGCCTGAAATGCAGACACCCCCGTTGGGTTGTGGCACCAATCCGGTAGAATACCGGCAACGACATCGCAGGTGCAACGGCCTTTATGGAAAAAGACGCAGGCCCACCCCGCCTTCTGCTTATCGACTTGAACATGGGGAGTGAAGGACCCATCAGTGTAACAGACCAAACCCTCAGGCAGCTCTTCCCCATTACTGCTCAGCAGAGCAGAGAGCTTGGCACGGAGAGCGACTTGCTCAGGAGGGATGCCGTCCCGAAGGTCGGCAAGTGATGCACTCTGGAAAGAAGGCCGGAATAGTGCATGCATCTGCCTGGGAGTAAAACCCAAAGCCACTTGATCAAAGGCAAGCTCTTGATCCATGTCAGCCCCCAGAACCTCGGCAGCTTCCTGGGGGTATGCCGCAACACTCAGACCAGCTGGCCAAGCAGCGATAGAGACATCGGCCTCCGAACCGTCAGCGGGTAGGGGCGGAAGTAAAGCAGGAGGCTCCGCGACTGGTTGCTCAGCCTGGTTCCCAATTTCTGGCATTGGTGACAAGTCTGTGTCATCAGTACGCCCCCCATCAGAGGTCCGGGGCAGACCGAGTAAGTTGACGTCGGAACCGGCGCGGCATGGCGTAGGAAGGGGCCTATGGCGGGTAGGGGGTCGCCCAACATCAGAGCTGCTGTCAGGCACGAGTTGTTGCAAAGAGAGCACACGCACTGCTTTCTCAACAATGAGTGGCGGCTCCGCACGGTGCTGTGTATGGCCTGGAAGATCCCCGGTGGCAAAACACAAGTGCGGGCGACAAACGAGACAAACTGCAGAGCACACCCTGGCGCACAGATGCATGCCGTTATTGAGTGCCCGACGAGCCCGTCTGGCAAAGAAGGGCCGGTTGGATTGCACAAAGCGATCGGCTAGGGAAGGCTGGTCTCGACGGAGGATAGGGGTGCAGGAGACGCTGCCATCACCAAAGGCATAGTCACACGAACGAATCCCACACATATCAACTACGACGCCGAGCCAGCCTATTCCAGAACATACCCAAGGATACCCCGAAGGAAGAAGGCCACATGTAGGAGGGCACCCTGGCGCTTTACCGGTGCCAGCATGGTGGCCGTCGGGAGTGCTCTCAGACGAAGCACTGGGCTCACCTGAGGGAGGGGAAGCGGTATCGGGCTGCGCCCTCTCTGCAGGATCCTCCTCGTCATCCTCATCGGGTGCACCATTGCTATCCTGGTCGCTGTCGTCCGAACTGGACAAGTCACCAGGTGGAGGCACAAAGAAAATAAGGCACACAACCTCACCATCCTGGACCGGTATTGGGGCGAGGAGACGCCGCACGCATCCGTCTGGCATGAGTCTGGCAACTTCGTGGCCATCAGGGCAACGAGGCTGGAAACGATCCACAATCCGTTGATGGCAAAGGTAACCTCCTGGCACCGCGTACCAAGAGAAACCCAGGGAGATTGCACGAAGGTCCAAGATGCAGATCGGAGGTCGCAACGCCCCGTGAAAACGGCCGCTGTATGATTCAGTGATCGCAACAACGTTGCGTGAAGGCCTTCCCCGAAAAGCATGGTCTGTAATTGCTGGAGTGGCAACAGACATGATCATGCAGCGCTCAACAATCCCGACCGCCCGTGCCAGGTCGGGGCGCACCTGGAGATGTCGGGAAGGCTCAACCCAAAAGGAAAAGTGCTCAAGGCCAGCAAGAACCCAAAGGTTGTCTTCAACAGTCCCGAACGGTTCCCATGCCGGGTCCCACCTATGGACGGATCGCAGCATATCTCCAAGCGATAAGGGGATCGACCCCAACGCATGTGCTGGGACCACTTGCAGAAGATCCCCAGGACGCGGCATAACCACCATTGTGGGGGGGATTGCCCAAGGAATATCACGCAAGAAGACGCTGAAGCTGTCGTGTTCAGCTACGCCGATGGCTCGGAGAAGTGACACACAGTCTATGGCCCGCGGCACAGACATCGCGAAGCACCTTTCATTGATCTGCCGCAGGTCAACGAAAATGCAAACCCCGGCTTGCACCCAGCCAGCAGTAGCCACTAGCGTGGCCGCCTGTTCCCACGGCTGTGGGTGCACCTCCAACAAGAGCGGAAATCTCTCGCGGAGACGAGGTTCGCGGGCCGCATTGGCTCGCGCAATAGCTTGGTCGGGTTCTATGGGAATTGGCAAACGCAAGCTGACAGTCTCAGACTGGACATCCTGGGCAAAGATGAAAAAGGACGCGACCACAAACTCCTGACCCCCAACAGAACCCGCCGCAAAGGCCGATGCTTCGGAGTGTGGTGCAGCAGGGGCCGTATGTTGGGCCTCGGTCATGGTCCGGAGGCACAAGCAGATCACCATCTGGGGTATCAGCAGATGCCGGCCCGGTTGGAGCTGGGGAGCGACTTCTGCCACTCTCCGGGCTGGGTGAAGTGGGGCCCGCTGCAACTGAAGCAGCAACAGAGGTTTGCGGGCCATCTCCCTCATCGTCGGTAGTGACAGGGACATAAGTCGCAAGTATAACCGTACCTGGCTGGACAGGGATGATGTCCCCATGGACTTCAACATTATCAAGCTGTGCCTGCCATCCCGCCGGAGCGAAGATTTCCAACTGCGTTACCAAATCGGAGTGGCTCAAAAATCCTTCCTCAGCAGGCAGAACATACCACCCTTGCAGCAGGGGTCTGCAATCGACGAAAGCTAATGGCGGGTTCTCCGCAACACCGCCAGCCTCATGCACATAAACGGCACGCACATCCTGGCAATGGAAACCTCTAACTGCAGCATCGGTGATTCTCTGCGCCGGTGCTTTCAAGCTGAAATTGTGCACCTCAAGACCTGTGACCTCAGCGGTTACCCGAGACATCTCAGCTGCAGTATCCTGACGGACAGTGATCAAGCGCGAGTCGCCGTTCCTGATGCAGCAGTAATGTAGGCCAATAGGCCCCATTGGTAAGTGCGGAGCATATTCCCACAGATGCGGCCGCGCAAGCATCTGTGACAGGTCAAGACCCCTGCGCGGCAGGCGCGCAGAACGAGAGAACGTGATAGTACCTCCCCGGAGATACTCAGCCTCTTCTCCGGCAAGTAAGGGGCGACCGCTCCCGTATGCGAAGACATGGACGTCTGTGTCGTCCGGGATTCCCGCCAGGTGGCACAACTGAGCTTTGGTAGCAGCCAAAGGCACGTCCATTGCAAAGAGTCGGCCATCGATGCCACGGCAGTCACAACACGCGATATGCTCGTTATCAGCCCACGCAGGATAAGCGAGCAAGGTCCCCCAATGACTGTCCGGCTGTGGCGATGCAGGCACCACTTCGGGATATTGCAGGTACAAGGTCTCGTCCCGACAGTCCATGACAGCTTGCAGTAGTTCAGGCACCCCATCCGAAACAGAGAGCATTATATCTAGCTGCTCGGGAATGCTATCCGGGACTAGAACCAGAAATGAAGCTTGATAGAGGTCCTCGCTCGAATCGTCATCTTCAGAGTCTGGTTCGGGTTCTGGATCTAAGGCCTGGTCATCCTCAGGGGGATTGGCAAGTGGCTCTTGTCGTGGACGGCCTCCGGGGGCCGGATCGTCCTCACTTGCGCTGTTCGGGCCCATACGAACTCGATACTCTGGTGGTATCTTACATTCCATCCCTGGTGTGAAGAGATCAGTGGTGCATGATACAGAAGCCGCGAGGAGTGGTGCAGGAGGGTCAACAACACTCCAAGAAACGCCCTTGGTGGGCCAGCGTGGGAACACGCTGCTGCACTGGGAACATAGAGCTTTCACGACTTTTCTGCAAAATTGAAAGTTGATATGGCTGGCGTGAATGACATATCTGAGCCCCTCAATTGGCCCCGGAGATCCTCGGGGAGACCGGCTACGGCTATTGGATGCAGAATTGGAAGACGAGCCTTGATCCCCATTACTACCGTCAGAATCAAGATGTCCTGGCACGGACGTTGAACCACTAGAATCATCGGCAGGTGGGCCAAGGTCATCATCATCCTGGCTGGATTCAATATCCGAAGCACCGTCAGCCCTGAAACCTATCACAACTGTATCTCCATGGTGAACATGAACTTCATCCCCATCGACACCCGTGAAACGCCCCAGGACAGAGAGATGGAACCCATTGGGGGTCCTGTGAATGCCCGCAAAACGCGCCAGGTACCCAAGCGAGACCGGGTTTCGAAGGGTCCATGTGAAAGTGGGCATGCGCCCTACTTGTCGCGCATCCACGAAGATAAAGATCCCCCTGTTCTCTTCTGTAGTCGGTGGAGGAGCGTGCTGAAGGGCAACGCAAAAGGCGCAGAGAGTGCCCCGACACTCAATGTCCTGCAGACGATTCCAGGAAGGGGATTCACAGGTAATGCGCACAGCGTCATAACCAAGCGCAGCTGCAATGTCCTCCCTATCAGGAGGAGATTCGGGCTTACGCATGATATCTTCAGATTCCAATATGACGCCCTTGAACTCATCCATGACGTAGGTGGTCGACGGGGGCAAGGCATTTGTGAGAGGAAATGCAAACCAGGCATTCCTATCCATCAGCTTATCCTGGAACGAACCGTACCAAACTGGGGAACGGCCTACATGGACGATCTGTATGATCCCGCCATGTACAGCTCGAAAACCGTATCCGCTCACCAAGGGAGTATCAGAGCCGAAAAGATAAACCTCAAAATCCTGTAGGTTTTGTTCTCTGGCTTCCTGAAGAACATCGCTGTATCGGGCGTCCAAACAGATGTGCTTAGCGTACACTGGACCACCTACCTGTCTGAAGTCATAGATCACAATGACCTCCCGTTCCGCTTCTAGCCAAGAGCCCCCCAAAACGACCGACCCAAAACCAGGGTGCAGCTGAGGTGTGGTCGCCACAACATCCCGAGCGAAGTCGTGCCTCAGTTCACATAGTGCTGAGCGTATCTCACCGAGGAGGAAGGATGCATCTTCTCCTGGGACTCTCACGGCCAAGGTGATAACTTCCTGGTGGTACATGGGACAGAGAACCAGAAAGTAACATGTGAGGATTGGCGTCTCATGGAAGAATGGCAAGCCATTGTCCCGTTCAAAGACACTGGCTTCAGGGGGAGATGGTGGGATCTCGGAAGCAGCATCGTGTTCGGGGATGGTCGGGTCCACCGGCAGAAAATCGGGGCCTCGATCAAAGACATCGCCGGCCTGTTGCACAACCTGATGCCACTCTGGAGGCGGCGTGGCCCAAATACAGATCGGCATGGACAGAAAAAGAAGCCTCAAAAGGGCGCCTGACGCACAACCCCAAGCACTGCTGTGCTTATCGCGCCGTGGATTGCGAGGACGCCCTGTGCGGCCTGGAGGAGCACCCCAAGAGAGAACAGCCTGCGAAAGCGAAGCAACGCGGCCGATTGGCAAAACCATCGTACGAGGGACCGCAGCCGAAACAGAAAGCAAAACTCGGCGGACAAGGCGGCGCTTATGCAAGCATCTAGCGAGCATTTGAAGTAGTCCCAAGAAGAGTAAACCCAGGAAGGATCTGCCGAGAGCCGGTACATGAGTCGCAGTAGACTCAAGCAGGGCCGTGAGGGCTCCGAGAAAAGTGGTAGGCTGGCACCCCAGAGCGACCGATGTGCCTATTTCGCGCTCTACCCAAAGTGAGGGGGAGGCCCTGTTATGGTGCAACAAACCGACAGGGAAAAGTCCAAGAGGATGTGGGCAAACATCGTGAGGATCACCATTCCAAACCCAGGAGAACTGATCCGGTGGCGAGCCCAAAATCCATGGAGGAGGGAGGAGAGCAGAGGCAACGTAGAAAAGCCAAGGGCCAGTGGGTGCGAAAGCAGGACCCATAGAGTGGCGCAAGCCCGTCTGCGGCCTACAGTGAAACCGGGTATTCCCACTGACTTCGATCAAACCTGCGTCGAAACGGGTGTCTTGCCCGAGGGCCAACAGATCGCTCCGTCCTGCCCCATGCAGAACAGGAGCTCTCGGGGCCTCCAGGCGACAATCCCCCTTCGCGCCAGCGACCGTCGTCAGGAGAAATCCCCATCTGCTAGGCATCACTCCATTTTGCCCTTCTCGCCGAGTGCAGCTTCTGGCGCCACGGCATCCTTCTGACTGTCCTCGACCAGCTCGGCCTCCGGGGCACGCGAAGCATCCTTCCCCTGCAGGCCTGGCGGGATACCAAATGGCAAGAGGGCACTCCGCCGAGAGGCAATGCGGTCGGAGAAGTCCGTGTGGAGGACAGGGCGATCCGGTGAGGTCTTCGTCATAGTCTTGACATCCTTTCGCACTGCGCCATCTTTCCGGGCCGGCTGGACAGGCGATGTGCTTCCAATGCCAACTTCGCCATCTGCCTCCGTAGGCCCCGGGGTCTCCCCACGACCATCCGCATGCAGACGTGGTGAGTTCACGGGATAGGGATCCGTGCGAGCCTTCATCAATGTTGGCGAACTCTCGTTGTACATCGGGCGGTATGCCCCCTCCCCGTCCGTACTGACAGGTCGCCCGCCAGAGGCCGGAGATCTCCCTGGCACTCTCGTGGTTGCGGCCGGGGTTCGGCTTCTGCTGGCTCGCTCTTGGAGGGCTCGCTGTAGAACCGCATCGTCCTGCTCCATCTTCTCTTGGTCCCATGCCTCCACCATCTTGCTCCATTCGTCCTCTGGTTCCTCTTCCTCTTCCATATCTTCCTCCTCCTCCTGAAATGCAATGGTGCGTAGGACCAGACGTGCATCTCGCTGATTCTCCCTTGCAGCACTGATCTCCTTGGCAAAATGATCCATTGCCTTGGCATGCCTGTCCCGCTCCTTGAGGTAAGCCAGCTTGTAGGTCCGGAGATATTCGGCCCACTGCTGCTCCGCACGCTCCTTGTCTCGTACGAGCTTGGAATATTTCTGCTCTGCTTTGCGGGCATTGTTCAGCGCCTTCTGCACCGACGGAACAAGGTACTCTTCCTCGTCCTCCATCGCCTCCGGAGCCTCCGGTCGAACACCACTTTTCCCAGCTGCCTTCGCTTTGGCCTGGGGGGGTCTCATCGTATCGTAAGCAGGGAAGCTGGGCTGTGCATCCGGCTCCTTGCCACGACCCCTGCCACCTTTTTTCCAAGGCGGGCCACCACCCGGTCGGGGGGCTTTGGCTCCCTTCCACACATTGTAGGAATGCTCCGAAGGCGCATGCCAGTCGTCTCCACGTCGGTCCCATCGCTCACCTCTGCCCATGAGGGAAACAATGAAGGACCGGAATGCGGGACTGATTGAGTGATGAGCTCCTAGTCGAGACAGGGCTCGTCGGTGGGGTACCTGACCCTTATTGATGGCACGGCGTGTGGCAGAGCGCCTCTGCCTTGCCCTACGATGCCAAGCTGGTGAAGCAGGTTTGGCCCCAATGGCTCAGACCTACAAAGGCGCACACCTTGGTGCTTGGGGTTCTGGCGATCTCACGCTGGTGTGAGTGTTCCTGAGCCCTTACAGACAGACATACACATAGACATATAGCTCGAATGCATATGCACATGTGTTTCAGCTGACACCAAACCATCTTGACACCTTGCTTCGTAGAAGAACTCATCTGAACCGGTATGTGTGCACACAAGGTTTTGGAATGTCACTCAAGGGTTACGAGGCTTTTCAGCGCCCTAAACCCTAAACCCTAAACCCTAAACCCTAAACCCTAAACATCCCTAAGCAATAAACCCTGAACCCTTGACCAAAGGGCTTTGGGGCTTTGGGCTGCCTCAGTCTTCGCGATGTTCGCGTCCAACTTCTTCTCATCTGGTGTACAAAGGTAGGTGTGGTTGGTACAGGGCTTTGGGTTTCGGGATTGGAGTTAGTTTCGGATTTGGGGGCTTTGGGTTTCTCATTTCTTGTTGGGGGCTTCCTACACCCCTTCCTAAAGTCCTGCAGCATAAGAGGAATCTATACAACCTTTCATCTCAAACTGAAGGCAAACCTTCGCGGACCTGCCCGGGATCAACAAACGAAAGACTGCAAGTCGTTAACGTGTGTTGTGTCCGGTGTAGGCCCTAGGCTGGATCCTTCTGGAGTTTGTCCTCTTTGTGTCAACATGCTGATTCCCGCACCTTTGTTGGGCTTAGACTGTTGGCCTTTCGGTGCCTTGGGGCAAATAGCCACCGTGATCCTAGCTTTTGCCAGACCTGCATGGATGCAAGCCGCACAGCAGCAGGTGGAGCACGTATATATGTTCCCGTTTTGGATTTGCAGAGAAAGCCGGTCATACAGCCACCATGTCGGCCACCGTTGTTTTCCGGCTTTCCTACTTTCGGTGCCATGCTGAAAAGCGAACCACCGAAAAGGCCAGCATAGCCTCCCAAGTCTGGCGAGCTTGGCAAGAAAGCAAGCTCAATCGAACACGTGCCATCTACCTGGACGAAGCTGAACCGCTCCGAAGCCTTGAACCCTAGAATAGAAGGCTGCAGCTGGTTTAATTTGCAGAATCGCGCAACTCCCCAGGGCCCTCAACCCTAAGCTGACGCACCTTCGCTTCGGACCGGCTGTCTCGCAGGGAACTGCCCCTTGGTTTTCTCCAGCCTTGCTAGAGCAACGGGCACCAAGCTCGTATAAACCGAGGAAACCGGTGCGAGAGAAATGCTGCAGAGTCAACCTGTGAGATGATAGCCATCGTTGTTCCAGTCACCACTCCCAGAATAATCACTCTCAGCGTGGACGGCATCTAGGTAGAAGTAAGTATTGGGAATAAGATAGTTCTCTTCAGATTGGTATTTTGTTTTTGTTGTTGGGGTGGGTGGGGTGCCGATAGCCTAAATAGGCGAGGGGGGTCCTAACTCTCCAATCCCCTGAGGAGGCTACGTGCAAAACAGATCTACGCATGTGCAAGTGGCGAGGGAGAGAATGACATTGGAGATCGAGAGACCCCAGACCATACACTTCTAAAATCTTCTAAACATATTGGCGAAAAAAATTGCCCCAATATAACCCCAACCCCTAAACCCTAAACCCTAAACCCTAATCTCCTAAACTCTAAATCCCTAAACCCATACACTTCTAAACACCCCGGCCCAGGTTGCAGAGTAGGGTTCCGGCGACTGCTGGAGTTCGTCGAGGCTGGCTTCGTTCCTTAGGAGCGTCATGTGAGAAGCTACTGGTTTTGATTTGGGGGGTTTCCCAAAATAGGGGGCCTTAATATCGTACCCTAAATAGTAGGATCCTTATTCTAAGGACCCCAAAATAAGTTACCCTTAATGTTCGAAACCGCCATTTGTGGTTTAAGGATAGTTTAGAGACCAGTACGGTTGCTGTTTGGGGTTGAGGGCCTAGGTGGGAGGATCGACAGCTACCGGATTCTGTGGTGTGTGCAGAGTCTATCGTGTTTCGTGGAGGCCGCAATGATTGGCATGGATTTCCCTGCTGTTTGCACAATGCGAAGTGCAAGTTTTTGTAAACTGCAAGTTCAGGAGACCAATGCACACTTTTGAATGCAGAGGGCCCTAAATAACTGGAGTGCATGTCATTTCAAAGGTGCTTTGGTTACGGTAGGTAACATTGATCTTGGCACGTCTTGGGACTGGAGGCTCAGGACTAGCTTGGCTTGGTTCTTCCAAGAGCTGCGAGCAGCCTTGTACAGAATGCGATCGTTTTCCAGTTTGTTTAAGGAGTCGGATGTAGGCTTCACAGCTTAAGGCTTCCCGTTTATCTCCACCTGCATCGCGGAATTGTTGAAGCGTCTGTACCAAGATGGGGCCGCCACGCCTTCTTGGCCGTCTTCAGGTCCACTTCCAAGTCACCAATCTGCCATGATAGAGAGGGTTGTTGTTGATGACTAGGGGTAAGGAACTCCTGGGACAAGCCGTGCTTCTTCACGTATGCACAGATGTTCGAAATCATCGTTTCAGGCCACTTCCTCACACGGTTCTCCAGAACTTCGCCCCCTTTCATGGAAAGATGTCGCAGTGGGGCTCCCTCATGTCTCACCGAGCGAAACTTCTCATGGAAAGAACACCTGTCACGCTCTTGCCCATAACTTCCTGTCTCCTCCTCCTGCTAGTAGCGGTTTTTGCAGTAGGAAGGCGACGACGAAGACGACGACAATGCTTTGATCGAGCCTGCTGCTTCAGGGAGACCACCATGGTCTTCAGGCGGTCTTCTCCCAGCGCTCGGAGCCTCAGTCGGGGGATCTCATGACATCTCAGAGTCGGATCCAGAGGCCTATGTCTCCAATCCTCGGGCCTTACGAGCCCAAACAAGGGAGATGTGGACAAAATCAGCTCCGGGCTCGCGCCGCGATGACCTCAGCGAAGTTTGCGCGGCTTGGGCCTATGTCTTCAACGTCACTTGGGCAGTTGTCAAAATTAGGGTCCCTTTTAGGGTCCTTATTATAGTACGGCACCTAATATTTGGGGTATCCGAAAAGGGACCCTAATTTTGACAACCACCCACTTGTATGGTCGCAGTGAGCTTTGTCCCTGGCGGCCTACCAGCTGCTTCCAGGTGAGAGCGCCTCGAAATTGCGACAATTTCAGGTCGGAGACTTTGTCAGAGTTTGGGTGCTTGGGAGTGGAGAGACCACAGCCAAGGGATGTGGATGATCTCGGCAAGCTTGGATCTCAGTCACATTCACACACACACACTCTCTCTCTCTCTCTCTCTGAGGCTGTGGCAGCGTCAAGCGTGCCTCGGAGTGGCTTTGAGACGGGGCCAGCTGCGTGACATGTATGCACGATAATGTCACGGAGCATGCGCAATTCTACAAAGTACTCTCAGCGACAGCATGTTACAGCTTTCGAGAACACAAACCATCAAAGCCTGCCAGCATCTCCTAACTAAGGGTTTTCCCGGGCACATTGCCATCAGGCAAGCAACAATATCATCATCCATACGACCACCGTATAGGCATGCCGATGACGATATTGGCGATGCACAATGACGCTACTGATGCCGGGCATGGCGATAGAGATGTCGATGGTGATGGTGATGTTCATGGTCAAAAATGTGATGATGGACAGGCGATGCTGAATCCAGAATCCCACTCGCGGATCGTGCCAGAAATTCATGCCACCGTGACTCGATCTTCCTGACGGACGTTGCGCACAGTGCTTCACGCACAAGCCCCCGCATCACAGGAAGGTTGTGTCTGGCGACTGCGATACGATCACCGCTAGCAGCCGACATTGAGATGTGCTGCAAAGCAACGAAGCCGTAGGTTAACCCCAACAGCGGAGAAGATGCCCACGCACCACTCCTACGCACTACAATCTACATAGATGGACAACAGCCCTGTCGAGCACAGAGACCTTTTGACCGAGAACATGCTGTTCATGTTGACTAAAGCGCATTCGGAAGAGAAGACACTGAGCCGAGTACGCCTTTGCACTTCGCGTACGTGGCATGTTTCAGGCAGACGATACTACATTTTTTCGAAAAGCTGTCTTGTACCAAAACCAGCCGCAGCGCCGCAAACAAACCCAAAAGGGCCCATGAATGTCGAGCAAAATAATGTTGCCGCCGCACTGTTTACCGTCGAGGCGTACCCCTTAATAGCTTCCTTTTCCCTGCAACGCGTCTTGTCGCTCTGGTCGTCGAACCGCTTTGAGCACTTTGCCATATTGAAGGCCGTGCCCACGGCCCCACTGACCAATCCACCTCCCGCCGCTCCAAGAATTGCATCGCCGGTGGAGTTGGCGATGCTGTCCGCAGCTGCCGAAGAAAGCCCAGAGGTCACGGCACCCTCAATCCCACCGCTCAGCGCCTGCTTGCCTATCTCCTCATCAGTTCCTCCCGCCCACGCTGCGGCCACCGCTCCGCCAAAGGCGCCGGAGACACCGCCAGCAGCACCAGCTTTCAAGCCAGTCTTGACGCTGGACTCGAAAACCGAATCCCTTGGCAAGAGACGATCCACTGCTTTGTCGGGATTCTTGACCAAGGACTTTGCATCCTTTTGCGACAGAGGCTTGCTGCGAGCACCGTCTACCTCGATGCGATCAGACCATCCCTTCGAAGGGTCGGCATGCTCCTTTGGAACGACTTTCTGCATACCATCATACTTGGGCTGGTCTATGGTCTTGCAGTACTGCTTGGAGCCGTACTTCAGCTGCACATCTTGGTCACCCACGTGGAGGTCGGAAGGTGAATGATAGGGCATGTCCTGAGCACGGGTGGGGATGTCCTGCTTGATGGCATCAGCATTGAAGCTTCTCTGATGAAATTCCTCCGCAGCCCTACCCGCACGAATTGCATCTGATGATCTCCCGTGGCTATGATTGAGGCGATTGAGGTCGCGCTTCAACCGTGTGGCCTCGGCATTGATTTTGTAATCCTTGACACCATCTTTAGCTGCAGCACTCGAAAGACCGCTAGTGACAACACCACTTTGTTTGTACTGCTGGCGGCATTGCTCCTCGCAATTGGCTTGCTGCGAATACGGTTGCTCGCGGCACTGCTTGAAGCACTTGTTGAGGTCGTAAGACGTCATCGCACAGCGCTTGGGAGGAGTGGAGACTTCCTACTGCATCCCACCTGTGGTGTTCAACATCTTGAAGCCAAGCGTCATCGAGACAACCAGCAGACAGGAGTCACAAGTAGCGCAGAAGCATGATTTGTGTCGATGTCACGCAATTAGAACTAGCACCTCGCAATAGCCGCTGAAGTGGACAGCGACAGCGTCTAGACGACACTGACATGTAGACGACAATGACGACACTTCTGCTCCCGCTGCTGTTTCTTCTGTCGTGGTGGTGCTGTTGCTACCACGGCTACTGCTGCTGCTTTTGCCTGAAACTTCACGACAGTAGCTTAAGCTGATGCGCGAAGGACGATATCACGAGTCGTCGGTCAATGGCATCAGCTTCAACACCGTCTTTGCCACCGAGCTGCCTTAACTGCTGCCACAGTCGATGCATCGAGCAAGACCTTCAGATCGCTTAGCCACAGCAGGGACGAAGGAAGTGAGCCCTGGCATAGAAACCCCAGTGTCATGAACCTGGATGAGTTTCGTCGCACGTGCTGTTGAAAACTAAGCAGAGGACACGAATACAAAGCTTAGTCTAGCAGAGGCACCAGGCAACCTGATAGAAATTGGTATGCTACAAGAGTTCTAGAATCGGAACCTTCATGGATCAACGCACCAAAGAGCAGAATTGGGGTGGAGATTTTGGCCCAATAGAGCCGTCAGAAAAGCTTGGCATGCAGGCTTGGAAATTCCCGCGTTGCTTGGGCTTAGCACTTAGTTTGATTGTACTCTGGCTCGAGATTCCACAAGCCTGCCAGCCCTGGCCTCCCAGAGAGCCCAGCCGGTAATGAACCGAATACGCCGCATTCCAGAGGCATTGCGCGTTGTTGTACGATGTCCCCAGAGACTCCAATATCCCTTAATTCAGGAATATTCCTTAAATCATATTAGGGATCCTACTAGAATTTAGGGTATATTCCTTAATTAAGGGATATTGGAATCTCTGGATGTCACGGACAGGCTCTCAGGCGCCGGCATCTAGCAGCAGCCAGGATAGGAGCCGCACGCCAAAGCGTGGCATCGGGGGGGCGGCTGGCCCAGACTACCTGTCCGAAGAACAAAGATGTTCTTGTCGCTCATTTGTCGTAGTTCTGTCATTACATCTACGGTTGCTAATTTCACTGAGCTTGATGCTTCTTTCCAGCCACTGGCGACCATGCTTCAGGCGACGGGTTCAGGGTCTGGTGCTCAGGGACTTCGGAGACTGCTGGGGCAAGGCACATGTACACGTACAAGTTTCCTTCAACTCAGCAGAGTTGCAACGGTGACGGAACCAACTCAGTAATCACGCAGAGCGACAAGACTGTCTGAATACAACCAGAAGATTATGAGCGTGGTGTAACTAGCTGAAACAGTCGTATTCATATTGCAACAGCAGCCGCACGATCAGTGGAAAAAGCAAAGCAAGAGAGGAGTTTCAAGGCTAGCAGTCATTCTGTAAGCTATAGATGAGGGAATCCGAATACTAAGAGTCACATGCCACGGTATTGACAAGATCACAACGGTCAAGTAACAACAGTATTGAGTGGATGTAAGAGCCAAAGTATTGCCAGCCCGGAAGCCCTACAAGTCCTAAACCAAGAAATCTCAAACTCCAAAGCAACCAAACACTATATAAGTTTCAATCCACATGGCACGTCGGATTCCAGCGGCCAAGGGCTTCAGCTACAGGGCAAGAATCGTGGACTTCCGAAGAGCGCGAGCCCTTTGGGTTTCGGGCTGTTTTGGATTCCAGCGCTTCGGGGTTAAGTCCTACACCCTAAACCCCCCAAAACCCCTAAACCCACCCTAAGTTTGGGCTTTGAGGTTAAAAGATGGGCCAGAACGAGATTTGGGTTTTCAGTGGGTTTAAGGTTTAAGGCTTGGGGTTTCGGCAGGATGGAAGGAAACCGGACGAGCGAACAATACTGAAACCCTTGATTTCTTCCTTCAGCTCATATGCTGCTTGCGCCGTGCCCTGTACTCAGGCCGGTAGTAGAAAGAAGAACCCTGGGGCCTCATATCACTGCCGCTTCGCACCCCTGCTCCCATACTCCGTTATGGCAGAGACTGGAGCCAAGTAGGCCGGGCGATTTCATGGAGCTCGCCGTGTCGAGGCTTAATATTTGGGGATATAAGTAACGTAACTACACTTATGAATACTTATAACCCCAAATTAAGGTACTTGTAACCCTACTTATTACGTCCCCGTGATCTCCCAAGTGGCTTGAGGCCTATCTTTGGGATTGACTCCGCTCCGACGCCTCTCCCCGACCACAGGCGTATGTATACAGGTATTTTGCCTATATATAGTGTGCATGTATGCGTTAAAATGGAATCATGAGCAAACATGCACATATGTACATATGTGTATATATATATGTATATTTGAGTATCTATACATATATGTGTATATGTATATGTATATGTATATGTATATGTATATGTATATATATATATATATGCATATATGGCTTTGACACGATATATGTAGAAATGTCTCTTGTACCCTATCCGCTGGAGCTTCTACAGACTTGATGGCCTGTGTGTAGCTGCAACAGGATTGTGGGCTTTGCTCCCTCCCGACCTGTCCGTTTATCCATAGGAAACGGAAGCGGCAGAAGTGCCTGGTACAAAAGCTACCAGGCCGTACTGTCTTTGGCAACCCTAACGCCTGGCATTACAGTTTGCGCAAGACCTGTCCTACATGGGTGGGCGTATTTGGAACTTCAGGTTCGAAGATTAGAACTCTTCTTGCAGGTACATGACAGGCTGCTATGTTCATCTTGCTCTGTACGTTCCTGGCTTGCTTTGGAGCTTTGCATGACTGACTTGGGTCTCAGAAAGTACTCAGGACAGCAGATCGCACACTTAAAGCAAATATGCAGTTTACGTCGCTCAGAACAACCACGCTGGCCTGTCTTTGGTCGGAATCGTCCATCGTGATGCCTCCCAGCATGCATATGCAATCAGACGAAAAGCTGTATGCATACAGACCTGTCCAGGTATGCATGCATTCACATATCCTGCACGTAGCTATTCCACCCATATGGACTGCTGATTGTGTTTGGCTGCATGCATCCCAGCCATGGTTCGGAACCCACGCTTCTTTATCAGGGGGCGTTCAAACTCTACTTCCGCTACATGGAAACCTACGCAATACAATGGGCGGTTTCAGGGCGCAGGCTCTCTCAAGCCAACGCCTGTTGAAAAGCTGCCCAGGCGAGTAGCGCACCATGTTCAGCCTCTCCAGGTACTTCACCTTGCAAGAAGCTTTAGGATTTGGGAGTAGGGGGTGCAAAGAAGAATAGAGACGGTCCGGACTTAGGCTTGTTGAGGATTCGCAGTTGAGCTGAAGTGTGTAGAGGGCTTTTTTCTTGAGGCGATTGGTTCGGGGCTCTGCAACTGGCAGCATGCGGCGACTGTTTCGGTGCTGCGGCCCTGAAACCGAAAAAAACCTAAACTTTCAGTCAGCCTCCAGAGATGCAAGGGAAGCAAGCCTTGGAAGCAGAGTAAGGATTTGAGGTCTAGGGTCTGGGATGTCAGGTTTAGGGTAAACTGAGCAAGTATGCACCCTATATGTTGCTGGGATTATCATATGTTCGTTGCATGCGTAGGTGTATACGATGATTTGGAGTGCTGCTGCTGAGCCCTTCGAGAAAAATTGATACGCTGCTGTCACAGGGCATAGGAAAAGCCACCGTGGCCCTAGACCTTCAACCCCCTACACCCCAGACCGCAAGCTCTAGATCATCAACCGTGAACCCTGCTTGAATTTGCTACAGTCATTGAACCGGAGAAACTCCTGAAGGCCCAGTTGCCCCCGGCACCGTTCATGAAGAAACCGTGGATGACCCAGGGATTAGGATTTAGGATTCAGGCCTGACGGTGTGACGCTGACGAGCTCATGTCGAGAATAACATTCACAGTTTCAAACCTGTTGGGCAGTGTGACTACACTCGAGGCCCAGCCAAAGTGAGGTCAAGACCTGTGCTCGATACTCCTCACCATCTCAGTCTGAGATGACCTGACCGTGTCTGAAGGTCTAACAGGCACGTCGTTTGGCACTTGGTGCTTGGGGCTTGGATGGAGGGTCAAGGCCGAGAGTTGATCGAACCTTCCTCTTTTTGGCTCGGCCCATGCTCCGCCAAGCATCCAGGCACGCCTCAACATGCAGGAATAGGATGTCCTGTTCTTGGACTGCTTGTTCTTGAGATCCTTGGACTCGTCGTTGGTCCTGCAACACAGGTTACTTGCTTTCACTCGCGCTCTCTCTCTCTCTCTCTCTCCCCTCTCGGGGTCGTCCTGTCGCACTCCCACACATGCTGCCGGCATGCCACAACTCGCTGCGCACCAACGAAACACCCATCTGCGTCTAGCCGGCTATGAAGCTTGGAACTCATACAGTCGACCAGAACCTGGAAAAAGAGCCCATGACTACTCAGCAGCACCTCCACTAACCCGGAAGCCCTAGACCATATCCCGAGGCGCACGAGTAGACTCCGCTTCCAACCGTCGAGGGTATCCAATACGCCTGGCAGTGGAATCTCTGAGGGTACCATAACGGTTAATCCAGGGCTCGTTATCGCGAGAATAAGGTGTCTTCAAGGGTTCCTTTCAGGGTTCCCTTGAAACTATCGATAATTTGCAAAGGTACCCAGCAAGCCTTCCTTTCGAGTGCAACTGACAGCCCCAAGGCAGAGATTCTGAGCACAAGACCTCCGCCAGGTCCAAGAGGTGTTGAATTTCGTCCTCATTCAGGAACTGGGGGATCACCTCAAAGAGCTACCAAGGAGAGGGTTTGCAAAGGAGAGCACGGCAATGCTCGGGCCAGGTGTGCGGCGCTGGAGTAACATGGCGACGTTTGTAACTCTTGTCCAGACGACTGCTGTACTTGATCGTGTCTAGTGCGAACCAATCCAGCAAGCTACGGAACGGACAGTGAGTGGAAAAGGCAATGACCGCTGCATCGGCCCTGTGTTCTT